CTGTCTCTCATTCCCTATTAGCAGCCATTGACATGTACATTGAGCACTATTTTTATTGTTCAACAACGCACAGAAGAAGTCTCTCACCAGCATTACTTTGGAGGTCAAAATGTTATACTTGTTACAGACTACGAGGGACGAACAGGTGCCGCTATAAGGAGCTTCGCCCCTAATAAATTATTAAAAATCCTGGGGCAGAGCGGGGATTGAATGCGTGTTGTTTGGGTCCGAGGGGGATCGAACCCGGGTCATGGCAAGAGGATGTTCTACGACACAGCCACCCGTCTTCTGGTGAATACGGTGAAAATAACTTCCTCTGCTTGGAAATTCATTGTAACTTTCATGCTTTACAAGCACAAGCGTCCTGATACATGTATCACAATAAAACATGAAATATTGCGGTAATAATGCGTGGTACAAACGTACTTTGCCATCGGGCGTCAGAACATGTGACTATAATAATGACTTCATGGTTTAAAGCTGGTCACCCACTACAGAAGTCACACACGTCACTGCACCTATTTTCTGAAGGTGGCGTACTGGGTGCATAGCAAATTTGAAAAGATTTTACTCGCTAAGTGTTCGAAGTACGCTCTAGGGACAGAATTACGCACTAGAGACAGAGTTTAACGCTATTGCGTTAAACTCTTAAAGGCGAAGCTGAAGAGTCCCGAAATTTTTACCGAAAGGATGACAACATTAGATATATTTCTCAAGAACCTCTCTCGTAGAGGTTGTGTAGGGGGAGTACAAAGCGTCCCTATCCATAATTCACCCCCCCCCCCTAATAAATAAATACTGAATTGGTGTATGAACTATACTGTTTTTGGAATACTTGTGGGTAGACGGGAGTATAAACATGAATGTAGGTAAGGCTCATATTAATGCTGAACATAAGTAGGTAGGACGATAAGTCGGCAAAGGCAAACCTATGTGGAACTCACTCAGATTCACTCAAGAAATATATCTCGCGCTTTGGGCTCACTCGGACTTAGACTAACAAAATTTTCGCGTCGAATTCACTCGAACTCACACTCACTAAAATTTTCTTCAACCGAGCTCACTCGGACACAAACTCACCAAAATATTGCTCACCCGCCTTCACGCAGCAGACTCGCATCTCAATCTGAGTCTTAGTCCGGGTGAGTTGACTCACGAGCGAGTTTGCTGACCTATTCCTGTATAAAATTAAACTGTACTCAAGTCATAATTTGAAAAATCAGTTCTAAATGTAAGATTTATTAACGAAAAGTAATAAACTAAAAAGCTTTTTAATTCGTCTCGTCACTGTTTTATTTATTGCGAAAAATTACTGCGATGTGAAAATTACTGAACCATGACCGTCATAAAACTTTTAACATAGTTATGTATTTTGTTTTGAAAATCTATCCTTTTTATAGTCAGCTGTACTGTCACTAACAATCTCTACCGTCAAAATTAAACTTCCGTGTTAGACTGATTAAATCAGAGCCATGGAGTATACCTCCGGGCCTACACTAAAAGACTGTTGCACGATTTTTAAGAAGGTAAGCAGTTAAATTGTATGTGCTTAAACTATAAATATGAGGAGGCACACGCTCTATTGTTAATTCGAATTACACGGGTACAATTAAGCCTGTGGCTTGCATGTGGATGGCTTAGAGATAATGGATGCCTCTGACGAGCGATGTCAGCGCACTGTAAATTACCTCAAGCGATCGAAGTTTCCGGGGTCCGCTACGCACATAGCGTATCGCAGTAGCGGTTTCTTAACGTGCGCGGGCCTGTAGCCATCTCACCTCCATTGAAAATGAGACCACCGCAGCCGGTATTGAACCCGCACTGTAAACGCAGGCAGCCAAGCCTCGCCACACTCCGTAACCGGTGCTACGTATAGTTATCAAGCAAAGGAACGAGAGGGGTTCATCATAGCTGTACGTGCCGACAACGGTTCAGAAATGCGGATCGACAAATACCACAGGTAACTTGCCTGGCTTCCTTGTACCACTTCGTTTTTGACGATAGCTTCGGTGTACCGTTCGATGGTTGTTCTTAAGGCTTTTCGACGCAGCTGTAGTAAACACATACTTCTCATGATACTACACCGCTCCAAAGTGCAGTGATATTACACGGCATCGGTCACATTACTAAATAGTCACGCTGGTAACGATTTATTGCCATCCTGTCAAACCAGCACCCGTGCGCAACACATGCATTGTACAAGTGTTCACGCCAATAGAAATTTCCAACTGCGTCCCCAAACTTACTGTAGCTACGCCAATGGAGGATAATCTAAACCTACACAATTGATAACGCTGTCAGAAATCAGAAACATGACATGCGAGCAAAAAAAAAAAGATGCATCTACAAAGTCACTTCTTATAGCAAAGCTAAAACTACGTACTACTACTATAGCTTGCGTCTAACAACAGCTATGTGCCGGGGAAAGAAAGAATTGGTCTTTGGACGTTAATTGACCTTGTATAGATTTAAGTGAGCCCGTCACGTGACCTGTGGTGGATTAAGTACGCAATACTGGTTCTTTCTTATTGTCCGCCGGTGCTGCATACAATAACTGCTGTAGAAGCAGTTGACACAGACCAAAATGAGACCACCACCGCCTGCACATATATATATATATATATATATATATATATATATATATATATATATATATATATATATATATATATATATATAGAGAGAGAGAGAGAGAGAGAGAGAGAGAGAGAGAGAGAGAGGGGGGGGGGGGGGGGGGCAGGCAGGAAGGCAGGCATGGTGGTGAAGTGGCCATGGCGTTGCGAGTAGTCAAGTAGATCCTCCCTGAGCAGTCACAACGTGGTTTATTTCGACGTTTCACTCATAGTAGGCCTTCATCAAGAATGGCGAAGGCCATACTCTGGCTGAAACGTCAAAATATACACCAACACAACTACGCAAAAGCTGCATAATACAACAGTGCAGGCACAAGCACTCCTAACCTTCCTCCCACAGGGGCTCACGCTTCCCGCGCGCACAGCGGTGCGTTACCGACTGTTTCGGCCACGCTACGGTTTCCGCTTTTGATGTCCGTGAGCGCGACACATGCATCACTAATGCGCAACCCTCCCCCTCCTCCTCCTCCCAGTTTTTAGAGTGGTTTCCTTTTATGTGCTTACCGTCGTCGGCTTCCGCGCTGATGCTCTTCACTTCGGATGCCACTAATGCAGACTTTGCATCATACGTCAGCTTCGGGAAGGGGGGAGGGGGACTTTTTAAATGAAAAGAGGAAAAAAGTGAGCCCCGTAACTGTCTCTCAAAGGGAGGAGACCTGAACAGTAGCTCACGATGGATGGGGGTAAGGAGGGATTAAAATGATAGGGAAGAATCTAAGGTATAGAGATAGAGAGCACAGCCGCAAGATAGAGGGGCGAGGGACAACCACATACGGAAGAAAGGAGAAAATAGGAAAGATGGACATGTTCGCAGAAGTCTGAGGATGAGGCGCCACTCGGCGAGAGCTCTTGTCAGCGTCAGGAGATTGCGTAGGGCGAGCCAGTCGGCCAAAGCTGCGCTGTAATTAAAGATAACGGGGGAGGGGGGGGGGCACAACCGGTCGACGCGAAATCCAGTGAGCGCACCATGATGCCGCCCTTGTCCATAATGTTCTCAATGTCACCAGCCTCAATCTCTTGACGGCACCCTTTTTCTTCGAAGCAGCATTGGGCCCCGTAGCTTTTACCATTGGAAATGTAGCTTCGTCCTGAAATTCGCGCAAGACGCCACAGAGCACGTTCCTATACAACAGCGCATCGCTCCCGGTTGCTTGCGTCTTCTTGGCCAGGTAGTTCACCAGAAGTTTGTGGGTAAGGTCGTTGTCCGCGGTTTTCGTTTCCATCACCACTATGACCTTGCCGGCAAGCTTTGCCTTAGGAGTATCGGCCTTCTTGGACTGAACTCTGCCGCCTGCAGGAGCGCCTTTCGTGGTCTCCGCCACAACTTCTGCTGCACCTTTCCCCGCGGCCTGCGTTTTTGCGCCGACGTCTGAGCCAGGGTTATACGTGTGCGATTAGTATTCACTTTCGCAGAAGCGGTTTGGTGCTCGTCGTCATGTCCACACCCAGGTCCTGGTGATCAGTGGCGTGCGCGGGCAGGATTGTCTCAGCCTCGCGATTTCCGTCTCCGGCCTCTACAGTCGTCGAAATTTCTGCGACGCTCACTTCGTCGTCCTCGGGCTAACCGCCTGCTTCATCAGTGTGCTCGCTACGGTCGACTTCACTCTCGTTCAGCTTCCCGCCGTGGTCGATCTGTCCCGGCTTGCCTTCTCCAAACACAACCTGCTCGTGTTTTTCGCGGTCCCGTGCTGGCATGACCATTTGCCGAGCCAGAAGTGTCACCCATCGTCCCTCAGCCACTATTGGAACCACATTTTTTGTACCCTAAAGTAGGCCGTGGTCATTTTCTCATATCCGCTGGATTGCCTGTCAACCCTTGCATCACTGCTTCTATCTTGCTCGCAGGAGACGGCAACATCCACGTTGGGCGTCAGATGAAGTATTCGTGCTGTCTTACTGCGAAGGAAAATATGTAAGCCGCTTTAACTCTAGGACAACGAGGTAAACATCGTAGAAATTTTGACGAATACAGAGGCCGAAGACGAAAATTGTGAGGCTGAGACAATCCTGCCCGTGCACGTCGCTGATAACCAGAACCTGGATGCGGACATCCACGACGAGCCTCAATTTACTTCTGCTAAAAGACGATTCTGCGTTTGAATGTAACTGGCACAATGCGCCATAACAGACAGCACCAACCGTCAAAATCAATACAATGTTCACACGACAATTGCTGACCACATGGCATTCTTTCTCTGTTACAACATACCAAGCACAATAACCGCACTTTAAATGGCTTAATGAAAGTTTACATGTCACAGTGTTTTTTATTATTTTTTTAGTTTTGTAGTTTCAAAAGATTGCCTTTAGGCATAGTAGGAACATGGTGTCATATACGTATACACAAGGCATTTTCTTCAAGCTGATGTAGTAACATTTTGACCGACAGCCTTTATTACTGGCATAGTGTTGATAACAGTATTTGATGAAGTTGTCATTCCAAAACAAATATAAATTATATGTGTTTTTAATATGATTACACTTGGTGCCTTGATGTTGCACCGGAGTCTTTCTGAGGACCTGCAAAGTGAGAATGGTCCTTTTTTGCAGCTACGTGAAGATGTGTATAATGACTGATGAAACCGGTCTAGTAATTTGCGCATCGATACGCTGTTGCCGTGCTTACCACGGTCACGTATCATCTCTGTCATGGTAATGACGATGTGTTGCTACTTAATGGTAACAATGTCTTATGAACAGCGGCGTAATCAAACAATTGTGAGAGTGCATTCTTTGGAAGCGTATAGCGTCTTGTGGTCCTCGAAAAGCTGTCTGAGAGAAGACATATATTTCTCGTGGAGCAGATCTACTTCCTCCTCGGTGGGGTTTTCGTTCCTGTCCACGTGGATGGGCTTGCCCACTGCGAAAAAATGAGGAAGAAATAAAACAGACGCGAGTGGTATCAGATGATCTGTATGAACCGGTCAGATGAAGCTCACTGACCGGATGCATCGCGCCTGACAAAAATGCAAGCACCGGTAAATGTCTTCGCTCGCAGCTCCTAGAACACTGACTCAGCGCGATTGTTAGATAGGGCAGAAAAATAAAGAGGCACAATCAAGGATACGGGTGCATCATATGCTTACCAACAGTGACAATCTGTTCCCTAAATGGCATGTATCCCCATGTGTACTGCAGAATCCCTCTTCCGTAAAAAATGGGCGGCGCGACGCCTGTGATGCTCTTCAGCTTCTCCTGCAGCCACCGTAACCTCGATCCACGCGGGTTCTTCATCTGGTAAAATATGTTGTTTTCGCCAAACGAGAATACGGGAACCAAGTCGGCGCTGAAGCAGAAAAAGATTAACAACGTAAGCTTCGCAGTTACGCGTGAAAGTTGATGCATGCTACGTGTACGCAACTCTTGCAAAAGAAAAGAGTAGAATTTCTTTAGAACCTGGTAGAGTGGAAGTATAGGCGCGATTAATGTTACGAAAATAGACCACCTCATTGAACCACATAACCTGGCTATGTCTTACCCGTTGAAGTTCTGTTCAGGAGGGCAGATAGGTGGGCCAACTGATATAGATTCACGTTATCTCCCGCAGACAAAGACAGGCCAGCGAGCTACAGTTAAGTAACTGAGGCTTTTTATCTTACCCTAACGCAGTTTCATTCCACGTATCAAGTTATTTGTAGAGCCAAAACTACCACCTAAGGCGCAACCTGCCAGCGTATCCAATTCTTAGCTGCGATATATCACCGAAGCACCTGCAAGGCCTTTGGTACGGAAGCTGCTACGCTGAAACATATGCTGCGGGATTGATATTGATTGATATGTGGGGTTTAACGTCCCAAAACCACCATATGATTATAAGCGACGCCGCAGTGGAGGGCTCCGGAAATTTCAACCACCTGGGGTTCTTTAACGTGCACCCAAATCTGAGCACACGGGTAATGTATGACACCAATGCTGAAGGCACTACTTGCTATATTTTCTCAGCCCAGTGGGCTGATGATCTAAACAGCTCCGGGCTCACCGACCGAATCTGGGCTGTCCAGTTGGCCCGCGAAGTGGTGACTATAAAAACTAGACGATAGGACATGTGAGACCTGAGCCCACGTCTTCAGAATGCAGGACACTCCACAAAGTTTGTTTTTTTAACACGACAGTTTTAAAAGTTTTTCTTTAACAGCATCTCACAACAGGCGCAGTTGTGTCTCACTCCCATTCCATTGTGTGCTTGCGCTTTCGAAGACACCACACAGTTCTGTTCATAAGGAACACTGGCCTACTTTTCCAGGCAGTGCATGGTCAATTCTGAAGTTCCTCGTGATTCATGCACCCCAAAATGGCGGAGTCTCGTTCTAGCAGACTTGATGCCTTGAGGTAGTACGCGAGGCATTATTGGTTAGTGCATCTTGTAATAAGATCACGTACTACGTGACGCCAAACAAGTAAGAAAGAGTGCTTCAGACACGCCGTCATGGTAACAGGTGGCGCTGACTGAAGCTCCTACCTTTAAATGCAACATATGTACCCTATAATGTAGACTGGCGATGACCGGCTCCGTAGCTCAGTGTTATAGCATTGGCCGTGTTACTCAATGGTCGTAGTTTCGAATAATGCCGCTTGCAAATTATCTCTTCGTCCACTTTTCTTTCTTCACACTTACATTACAATTACTTCAAAAACAACCCCTATACTTTTTCTGGCATTGTTTTCAGTTGGTTCTCTTTAATATTGTTTCTTAGAAAACGTGCTCATAAATTTACAGTTTCCTTCATTGATGAAAAATTAGTTATATATGACTAGTAGGGCTGTTGTATGTTGGAAGCCATAAAAAAGTCGAGAACGCAAAGCATTTTTTGTCTATGTTCACACACCTCCACCCTCCCCTTCATAATGTGACATCAATTTTCAAAGTTGAGTTTGCTCTGTCATACAGAACTTCTGAATGCAGAGAAGGTTCTGACTAACTATTAAGCTCAGTAAATGCTGATATAATAGTTATTCCGAACGTGTCGCATAAACGAGACACCGAAGGGACCACACAACACAGGCGCTGACTTCATTTTGAAGCTGATATATTCATTTGATATCAAACATAACTTTTGAATTACGCACCTACTGACATCGACACTATCGTAATAGAAAGCAACAGTGCCAATTCTGGTGACTTTTTGTAGTATCATGGCTAGTTCACATGACGTCAGGAAAAAACATTTAATATGGACACTTGTGTGAGCCACGGAGTGGAGCGGCCGTGGAAACATTACAAAATATGGCCCGAGCTTGCGACTGGAAGATCATACCACATTGTAAATCTAAGGTACAGTAGAAATTGAAACAAGCTAACTTTTTTAGGGTGAACTTACTCTTACCAGTAGGTTTTCTAGGCTCTGAAAGGCTTGGCCTTCTATATGACGCAAAAATAACAACCTAAAATATTCCGTAACCCTCGAAGGCAAAGATTAATTACTAGATCTTGCAGAGGATGTTATTTTTCTTACCCGCTCTTCATAGCACATCTTATGAACCCTTTGCGGTTGTTGAGGGTGATGATGTAGGTGTCCTTGTGGGCGTCAAGTGATTCCTGGGCCCCTCCGACCGCGACTACTGCGGCATTGCCCGTTCCCTGTTTTGTCAAGATCCAGTGGAGGCTATCTCTGTCGACAGAACACAGACCTGCGCCACACGTACAGAAACCAGCAGACAAAGTTGATGCAGTCGTACACATTGCAAACTGCACACAGACTGAAAACCCGTGTCTCGGCACGAAGTGTTCGAATAAAAAAATCGTCGGTATAACACGAGAAAAGCGTCAGCAACAACAGAGGCAAGTACCGAACGCAATCAAATGCGACTATATCGAATTCGTCTAAATCGCATTATCCTTTATATGAACGATTTCCGAACATGACTCTGCTTTAGCGTCAGTATACATAAGAAGATGGTCGGCTACATCGAACCGAAATGGATTAACACTTCATGCGCACAATATTGTGCAGCATGGAACACTCCAAGAAGTTGGCTTTTTCTCTCACGAGCTGTACTATTAGTTACCGAAGAGAACCTACATGCACGCATTTGCGAGAACGAGCGGTGTGATTAGGAGGGCGCCACGCGAAGCTGCTTCGTGCACAATCGCCGTTCTCTTCTCAGTGATTCTACGCTACCTTTGTTAACGCGACGGGGCCGTGCAATGGAACTTTCGGCTGTTCTCCACAAAATTGAGATAATAAGCGTGGTGAAACATAGTGAACCGAAGTCTAACGTCGCTGTTCATGCAGCACCCCAATAGGCCCATTCAGCTCAACAGAAGAACAAAACTGACCTTATACGGCACAGGCGCACCAGAAGCTTCTAGCACTCTACCACTGCGCACAGTCACTCACGAACATATCAAGGGACTCGTTGATACGATACGGTATTTTCTCGCGTATTACTAACCCCTGCGTATAACCGCATTCACAACCGAAAAAAATATAATGTGTCAAAAACGTCGCAGCTTTGCCTCTACGGCAGCCCCGCCATGGTGGTCTAGTGGCTAAGGTACTCGGCTGCTGACCCGCAGGTCGCGGGATCAAATCCCGGCTGTGGCGGCTGCATTTCCGATGGAGGTGGAAATGTTGTAGGCCCGTGTACTCAGATTTGGGTGCACGTTCAAGAACCCCAGGCGGTCGAAATTTCCGGAAACCTCCACTACGGCGTCTCTCATAATCATATAGTGGTTTTGGGACATTAAACCCCACAAATCAATCAATCAATCAATTGCCTCTACGGCAAAGCAATAAACGCGATAGCAACACATTGGAAGGTCACGCGCAGAATGGCAAGCAGATCGAAACATACCCCGCGTTCCTCACGCACAAATGACGCACAAAACGTGCTCACAAGTACATATAAACGCAAATAAGCGTCTCAGTCGTTACTTTGTTGTGTCTGAAAAGCGCGCTCTTTTCGCAAACGGAGATTGGGCAACGATTGCAGTAACCTTTGTACGCCCGGTAACTACAACAGAATCGTTCCGAAGAAAACCCAGTGCCAGACGTACGAACCTCCCCCCTGCGAGTTAAGGGCGCGCGAGTGAGCGTCGCCCCCTCCTCTCCACGGCGCGATGTACGCGTAGGAGATGAGAGCGTCGTGACGATGTGGCGACGCGCGCTCATTGCGCCATCTTCCTGGTAATGCTGAACACATAATAGTTCCCCACAAGATGCCCGTCAGCAGCGGTAAGTGGTAGATATTGATAGCTTGCCGTATGAACTGTGAAGGAGGTGCTCCTCCGTGGCTCAGTGGTTAACGCATCGCTCTCACGACTCAGAGGCCTGAAGCTCGATTCCGCATACATATATATATGTATATATATATATATATATATATATATATATATATATATATATATATATATATATATATATATATATATATATATATATATTATTAGTGATGGCGACACCGGCGGCAAAATGAAGTCGAGGGTGTACATATAATTGATATCGCAATAAAAACACCCCCACTTGGTTGCCAAGTTGTGTTATTTGCAATATTGCCAGGCTATGCCGTGAAGCAAAATTGCGCACCATAATTCGTGTTTAAAGTATGGCAATCCTTTCATACTCTTATTCGGAATTGTTATATATATCAACGAATTCCCATATCTTTGCGAGTTCAATATATGCGGGTTTGGTTTTACTAAGACGTCTTAGGCAGCCCTGCAAAATATTCACCATGACTGCAAAACACAACCAGGCACCACGCAACATTCTTTCTCTCTAGTTATTGCATTAAACTGTGCTGTCACCTATACTTTAAACTCAAGCATATTAAAGTACAGTCACCGTACCGTGGCACATCAGCAATTCCCTCTGAACAGGGAACATGAAGTTGACGTTCAGCGTGAGCACATGTATGCGTATCCCTGGGAAGAGTTCCGCGATGCCGGTGGCCTCGGTGCCAAAGTTGCACATGGCGCCCATGCACATGATACCGTGTGGGTGGTATCCCATTATGTAGTTGCGGTTTGTGGGCAGCTCGCTCGTCTTGATCAGCTTCGCCGGGTAGTAACCAGCGGCGTACTTGTGAAGCCGCCAGTTGCGCACCCATTGACTCGAGTGGCCTCCGCGCCTAGGCGCGTCGCGGTCATACAAGTACCTGCATGCGCGGATGTGTTCATTGTCAGCTTATTGTAAACTACTGCAGCAGATTGCAAAGTTAGGCTTGCTGGAATGCTTGCGTGAATGAGGCAGCGCTAAAGACGAAGACGTAGTACATTGGTTGGTTGATTGGTTCCACGGCGTTTTGGCGCAACGCACTCCGGAGGATCGGCCATGAATGGAACAGTGCCTTGCTTATTGAACTGACTCACCCACTTTGGAGAACGGTTTAAAATGAATTGTTTAACCATTACACAGCAGCACGTCCTGCACACTCTGTTCTTGCGTCTTCGTATTTAGTGTTGCATCAATCAGACAATGAAACAATGAAAACAACCAAGGTATGCGATCTGTGCCGTAAGTTTCGGAGCTATGGCGCCAGTGAGTGGTCATGTATAGTCTGCATCTCGTACACAGAATCCTGCATTAGATATTTTAACAGTACCTATTAATAGTTCAGCACAGAAGACACCGAGAGTGTGCTTATTGCAGTACCGTCCCCTGTTAAAGAGATCACTTGAGTGATGACCTTTCATATTGCTAACTTTCTAACGCAAGTAAATATGGCATAACATTACTCGTGCACGGCAATAGTCTGTCACAAGGGGTCTGAACTGTTGATTGATTGATATGTGGTGTTTTAACGTCCCAAAACCACCATATGATCATGAAAGACGCCGTAGTAGAGGGCTCCGGAAATTTCGACCACATGGGGTTCTTAAACGTGCACTCAAATCTGAGCACACGGGGCTACAACGTTTCCGCCTCCATCGGAAATGCAGCTGCCGCAGCCGGGATTCAAACCCGCGACCTGCGGGTCAGCAGCCGAGTACCTTAGCCACTAGACCATCGTGGCGGGGCGAGTCTGAACTGTCAATCAACAGCAGTATTATGATAATGTAGGCTTTATGCTTCAGCAAGAGCAAGAGGATTTCACTGCTCTTGTGTGCCGTGTTAGTGACGCTTCCCTACATCGCTTATTTAACACTCATTGGAACTTCATGCGTATCGCATTGGCCGCAAGGTAACCGCCGCCCCGCAGTTCACGAACTGCCTCTCCCGATCATCTTAATATCTTGTGTTCTCTGGTAGTTGAGTAATTGTCTCATATCAAGACACTCACACACACACCTTACCAAACTCTGTGTACGAGATAATCACGCATCATACCACACCTACGTGCAAATGTTATGCCTTCAACTGACTCGGACAAAATTATAGCTGCAAAGGGACAATCTACAGCTTTCTCTTCGAGCTGTTCTTTTGTTTTTTTTATCTTGTTATCTCTAATATTGCATTCACGTAAAACGTTCGCTACGGCTTACCAGATAACATAGATCAGTGGTATCCAGTAGTAGTTCGTGTAGAAGAGGACGTAAGCGAACAGGGCGCTCCAAAAAAATCCTCCGAAGACGAAGGACACCGCTATGAAGAGCACACCCGCCGTCTGCAGCCGTCGCTTGAGCGGCACGTTCAGCGGCGCGAACTCCACGCCCAGCACCTTCATGGAAGACCAGGGGCTCTCCTCCGTGACTGCCCCGCAGGTGCTGTCAGAAAGATACAGAGGCAGGCCAGCGGTTTTTGTGAGAGGGGTCATTATCGACGGCGTTGTCTCGTTCTAATGGCGGCCTCCCACTCCGTACATTCCGCGAGGGTGAACAATGTTGCCCCACACTCGAAAACGAGCACCCACTTGTATCTACCGCTATAAACACATACATGATAGGTTCATACGAACGCGGACACACTTCCACGTTTTCAGGAGCTGAGCTGAAGCACTTCAGTTCGCGCAGTCTTATCGGCACATATTTCTCTATGTTGTTTCATCGTATATGTAGGTTCTCTGCAAGTGTGCTATGAACTGGGCGCGTTCGAAGGCTGGCGAGCGAGAAGGCAGATTCGAAGAAATAGGCTGCACATTGGAGCATTGATTGGCAAGCTGCTGGTGGCGTCATATGGTCTGCGTAAATATATATGTATCTGGTAAGGTTGCAATGAATGTAAGCATCCCAGGAACAGCCTAGGTCCACAGCATACATTTATCTTGTTCTATTTAAAATCAGTGCCACTCGTTTAGTATGCGGGATCGGCGGGAAGGGGGGGGGGGAGTCATCACGATGGTTCAGTGACGTTGTTTACCAGAATGACACAGGATCAATACCGGCCACCGCGATGAAATTTAGATGGAAGGTATTTTCTAGAGGCCACGTGCTGTGTGATTTCAGTGCATTTTAAGAATCCCTGGTAATATAAATTACCCGAAGGCCGCCCGTACCCCGTGTCTCATGGCTGGAATCACTTTGGGTCGTTAAAGTCCTCAATACAATCAGCCTTTTTTTTGTGTGTGTGCGTGTGTGTGTGTGTCTCTGGTTATCACAGTAATGAGTCTTAAAAGGCCACTCATCACCCCGCATTTCAAGACGATGGGGTGACTTTCTCCTCTTCTTCATACATCTGATGCATCCTCCTCGCCCTTTAGTTCTTGAATGCACGTGAACAATATCAGCACTAACACTAGAGCCTATCAGGATTTCGCGCTTCTCGGCAGCATGCTGTTATCGCCGCTTGCGCAGTTGTAAACACAAAAATTGAAGTTTTATGAGTTGATTGTGTACGATATTCATGCGAGACAAAGGAGAACGGATGGGCGGCTGCATGGCAATGCAGTGCAGGAGACAAATAACATGCGATATTTCGCGTATATCAACAAATCGAAAGCATGTACGCCGTAGAGGTCACGGGAACTGCTGTCTACGTCACAGTAGTGCGCAAGGAGGACGAGAAATATCAGGAAAGGATACATCGCTCTTTTTTGTATTTTGGGAGCCTGGTGAGTGTCCCTTTATGATTTGTTGAGAGGGGATCTCTCAATTTGTCATCGAGCTTGTTGGCATTTCATTTGTAGAAAACTCGCTATTCACCAGTTTCACGCCGAAAATGTCATGAAAATTTGGTAGCGCACAGGCCGTTCGTGACGTCGAAGCACCACCGGATGCATGCCGTTGTTGCAAGTAAAAGTTAGACGACGAGTGTGGCCTTGGGGCAGTAAACGTCCCAGAGATAGGACGCCGAAGTTTTTAGACTGACATCTTCGCTCTAATTACTTGTACAAAGGCTGTTTTTGTGTGTCTTACAGCCAACAAATTAATCACTAAAGAATAAGACCAGATTTTATTTTCTCTTTTTTTTTTGCTAGCGTTCGCAGAAGGTAAACACAATTCTACAGCTGATAAAGACGACACCAAGACTACGCGGAGTGTGTCATATGTAAGTGCCGATATCTGGCGCGAAAAAACCGTGCATGCCAGAGTTTATCTAGTTCATGCCTATCGTTTAAGTTTGCTGTCGCGTACGATAATTCGTGCAGCTTTCTTTTTGTTAAATGTATACAGGGAGAGGTAGGTATCAAAGTGGACCGCTGGCTACTCATCTCTCGGCATGAGCGTGCGCAGCGTTCCCCTTCCGAACCGGTGAAGGCTCGTCGTAGTGCACCTCCCCCCCTCAAATCTTATTAAGTCAATGTTTGCCTCTTTTAGGTGACTAGGGGGCACTTGCTCCCCTCATGCGTACGCCTATGTCTCTAGCACAACAATTGCCGTCGCAACGCTGTGCACAGGAACATAAATATACTAATGGGCCTACGGACCAAAACGCTCACGTAGAAGCATTCGTCCAACTGGGATTAAGTGCGCGCGCTTAGTTCTTCAACATCAAAACTCTCTACTACAGCAAGATTTCGACAAAACGCAGGTATTCGCACAAACAAAACAACGTGTGTTGACGCCCCACCGCGCACACGATAGTTCGAAATGCCGTGTCTTAATCGTGTGCTAATTTCGAGCCAGTTCCACAGCTATACTCCTCGGGTGGCTGCTCAGTGCAACTACTTCAGGAAAGGTGCGCCATACGAAAGTACACAAGAGGGTCTCAGTTTCAGACAACGTACACTGCAACGTGAAAAAAAAAGTGTCCTTGTAGCTGATCTTAACAACATTTATCTTGAGAAAGACGCCGTACGTTACTTGAATAACAAGGGGTGTAAAATAACAGCTGGAGGAGTGCATTCGAAAACTACGGAAATATGCAGCTACGGAAATTTGGCTGACAAGAAAAGAGAATGCCAAAAGCGAACAATTCATCACCATTATACCCTCAGGTCAAATCATCCTACAATGGTCACCTGACCCCGTGGTCTTGTGGTTGTGGTGCTCGACTTCTCACCACGAATTCGGATCGAGGCAACCGCATTTTCGATGCTGGCGGCAATGCTTAAAACCCGTGTACTAAATTACGTGCATAAAGAGCCCCAGGGGGTCGCAATTTCCGGAGCCCTCCACTACGGCGTCTATCATAACCATATCATTTTTGGGACTTCGAACATCAGAAATTATTCATTATTACGCTAGCACTGGTTTGAGGAACCACTTAATCTGTTGTCTGAAGCGTGAATGAGTATGGAGAGAGAAGACGTGCAGCCTTGGGTAGCCACGCTCTCTCTCTCTCTCTCTCTCTCTCTCTCTCTTCATGGTCAAGCGCCCTGTCTCTCGCCCTTTCTCTTCTTGAGGTGGGCGCGTAGCCACGTGCTTTCTCTCTTCGCGCCCTCTTTTGCGTAGCCACGCGCTCTGTCTCGTGAGAGAGCCACGTGCTGACCTGCTGCAATTTGATTGATTGATATGTGGGCTTTAACGTCCCAAAATCACCATATGATTATGAGAGACGCCGTAGTAGAGGGCTCCGGAAATTTCGACCACCTGGGGTTCTTTAACGTGCACCCAAATCTGAGTACACGGGCCTACAACATTTCCGCCTCCATCGGAAATGCAGCTGCCGCAGCCGGGATTTGGCTGACCTGCTGCGACACGTACGTGCGGTGAAGCCTTTAGCCTGCGCCATTCGCTGTCATGACCAAGAGTCTATCCACTGCACCAAGAGCAACTTCAGGGAAAATGTCAGCTCCAGCCGCAGCTATCACTGTCTCTTCTCTCCCACAAAGAATTCGCGCAAATTCTCCGTCCACCTGCATGTGCTCATTTTCGTGAGGTGAAGCACACCTCGAGTGTTTGAGATAATGGAGTTCCCCTTGCAAGCACGTGCCTATATCACTGGTTTTACAGCGTAATCTGTGATAAGATCACAACAAGGGTCCCGTAGTTGTACACCACCGTCGTCGTTCGTAGCCGCTATCACACGAAATAAGAAAAATAGCGACTCTACAAAAAAAAAAATATCGAGGATAAAACGAGCTTCCGAAGCTTGGTCCTCTCCATGACAGCCCAGTATTCATCCGCTTACCTAATGGAATTTGAATAGTGTAATTACTCATATGATGGTTGACTTTATTGATTCTGGCAGTTGCGTCTACTGTATACGTAGTGTCGCTAATGATATGCTTAATGCTGTTGTCCTTAAATCTTCATTTTCTCCCGTGGCTCAGTGAACAACTTCTCATCGTCACGAACATTATAGAGAAATGCAATAACACAGGCGCATTAAGTAAGGTGAAACAGGATTGATCAGCAAGCGTACTTTCCACCGTGAAACCTCCCCGTACTTGAAGCATAACCGTCGAGGATTATGTAACGAGGCTTACGCTTGTCGTTCAGAGACCTTTGCAAGTCTGGCCACTTTATCTAATGAGGCTCCCCGAGCTTGGTTCACGGTATCGCCCTGCAGCATCCATGTCGTTGTCGCTGCAAGTGTTCTCTCGGAGTGCGAAGTTTTATCGCTTCTCAATGTGTTTTCATAGATATATAGCTAAACCCTCGTAAAAGTGCTCTGCATGAAGCAATGTTACGGCTGCGTGTTAAAACGTTGGCTCGAACGCTGTGCAGTATATCAACGCACGCCTAGCAGGACGCCTAGCATAACGCGGTGTGCATATTTGATTTACGCTTGTGGCATTTAACTGGAAAAATAAAAAAATGTACAATTTCAAGCACCTCAGAGTTGCTAGTTCGTTGTTGTTGTTGTTGTTGTTGTTGTTGTTGTTGTTGTTGTTGTTGTTGTTGTTGTTGTTGTTGTTGTTGTTGTTGTTGTTGTTGTTGTTGTTGTTGTTGTTGTTGTTGTTGTTGTTGTTGTTGTTGTTGTTGTTGTTGGAAAGGAACAACCCCTTTCGGTCAGTGCACACAGTACACGCAACCAATGAAAACACATCGGGTCGTTTTTACGGCTTTTATTGTAAACCTTAAGCATACACCGAAAGAATCCCCCGCAAAGAATCCACTTGCAGTGATCTACAAGGACAGAACATACCAAGGAACTGCGTGCAGCAGGACGGCGTGCGCGTGTGGTATGGAGGTGCTAAAACCTGCCAACCCCCCCCCCCCCCCCCCAAATGCAGGTATCGTCAAAACCCAAACCATATGCCCCCAGCCCCCCTGCATCCCTGTAGGAGCTCACTTGTCATGGGTACCTCCCTGATGAAAAAGTCCTGGCGCCACCCCTCATGTGCAGGAAGAACCAGAAGCCCCCCATCAACGAATGTAGTTTCCGAATGCCTAGGCGTGAAATGGGCTCAGAAAAATGAAATTGTAGAGAATATATATCCTAGCACGTACTCTGAAACTGCCGCCCATCAATCACACTCCTACCCCGCCCCGCCGTGGTGGTCTAGTGGCTAAGGTACTCGGCTGCTGACCCGCAGGTCACGGGATCGAATACCGGCTGCGGCGGCTGCATTTCCGATGGAGGCGGAAACGTTGTAGGCCCATGTGCTCAGATTTGGGTGCACGTTAAAGAACCCCAGGTGGTCGAAATTTCCGGAACCCTCCACTACGGCGTCTCTCATAATGATATGGTGGTTTTGGGACGTTAAACCCCACATATTATCATCATCACACTCCTACCCTCCACTCTCGCCTCATTTAACCGCAAACCGTGGGTTGCTGACTCAAATCAACACACCGAATAATCAGGGTACTTTCTGGACTCAGTGTACCACAAGAGTAGCGCCAGCTAAGGTCTGGACTAAGAGCCACTGAAACCCGCTCATTTTAGGCAGTGTTTTTTTTTTTTTCCAAGGCGCACGCTCTCTCTCTCTCTCTCGTAATTTGTACGAGCAACTGTGCTATAAGGAGGTCAATATAAACTGGACATGATCAGTTTTGGGTAGGTTTATTGCAGTGCAAGAATATTATGCAGTGAAACATAAACCTCGCATTGTGGGGAAATGGACAAGTTTTTCAGTGAAATGTTTTTTGTGCTTTTATTTATTTATTTGTTTGTTTGCTTGTTTGTTCTTGCACGCCTGCCCTTCACTGATTTTTCATGTTTCCTTCTCCTTACCCCTCCTTCTAATAAACGTAAAACGTAATAAACAGTAAAACGTATGTATCAATTATTGCTGAACTGCATACACTTTCTTCTTTTTTATGACCTCTCAACGCTATAAGGGTTGCACACTCAGCGTTCGATCCAAGAACTTTCTGTTCTCAAAGGTACCAACTATACAATCCCTAAGTTGCAAGGTGTACTACAAGGTAATTTGTTAGGTGATCAAAATGTATGCCGACGAAGTAGAATCGTGCAACACGCAGCGGGTGATTATTTTGAATTCGCGCTCTTGATTTTAAACTTATGCCGGTGTACTATAAAACTCGGGGACAAAAAGCGTTAGGAAACCTGCCGCAACGGCTGGCGCAGTATTGCAGTGCATATCAATCCCGACAGCGGCCGTCACATTGCGATGGAGGCGAAATGGTAGAAGCTCGTATACTGCACGATGTCAGTGCGGATTAACAACGCGACATGCTCTAAATTTCCAACAGCTCTCCTCCACGGCGCCCCTCATAATCATACGGGGTTTTGGGACGTCATACCCCGCATGCTGAAAAATTATTATTAGTATTTAAATACCACAATGCTGATTACCCCTAGAGGAAGATGAAGCATCGACCGGCACCACTGCCCTTCATCTCTTTAGTTCCACAGGCGGGACAGAAATGGTTCCAAGGAGCCTTTTTTTTTTTTTTAAGCTCCTAGACAGTGCGGGCCGAAATTGAATTGTTATCTCCTGGGGGTTTCTATTCGCTAAGATTCAAAGGAGAAAAGACAGGTGCACACGAAGAAATATAACATTCAACATTCCTTCAACATTGTTTATTTGCAGCAAAAAATACAGAAATATACAGCAAAAATATAGAAAAGCTAAAAGCCTGATGAGGCCTCACCCCCTATTAGTGAAGCAGTTTGTTAGTTTTCGAGCAACACTCAGAAGGTGTACAACGGCACCCGCTAACTATACAGAGGGGGAGCTGGCGTTCAAAGACCTGAAGTACAGATTTTGAAAAGCATGATTACTAAATTCCGGCCTTCCCACGAACCAAAATCACGACATTATGAGACATACTATGGTTGCAGAGCCCTGATCAACATCACCAGATTTTATTTTTTATGCTAGCCATTTCTTGAAGAACTTTCGGTGGTTTCTATCCTGTCTGTCTGTCTGTCTGTCTATCTATCTATCTCTCTCTCTCTCTATCTATCTATCTATCTATCTATCTATCTATCTATCTATCTATCTATCTATCTATCTATCTATCTATCTATCTATCTATCACCATAGCTAGTTATCTAGCCAGCCACCTACTACTGGGTGCTCTCCTGGTAATCCAGGTGAGTAAAGAGTAGTATAGCTCAGACCATAAATAACGTATGCCAGCCGCGTGCGTCATAAAGCCCTTTCCGCCAGTCATGTGTGGCACATACCCGCCTACCGCAGCCCCTGGTGTGCGGTTATGCTCCACAGGCGAAACCCCAGAACATCACAAAGGGACCTCGAATATTTTATAAGACAACATTGAGTATATTTGCTGGTGTTTTACGTGCCAAAAGCACAATCAGGCTGGTCATAATGCGGGACTTCCAATTATTGTTGACGACCTGGGGTTCATTAACGGGCACCTAAGTGAGAGCGTGGGGTTGTTCTTCGAATTTCGCGCATTCGAAATACCACCGTACTTGGAAATCAAACCCACGCCATCTATCCTTGCAGCATGAAATCTCGCGTTCAAGGCGCGTAATTTTGTAATACACTTTGCATGGTTCAAAGAAGAGAGACATGCCTCTTGCTGTGGCTTTGTTGATTTTAATTTAGCCGACAAAAACTGAAAAATGTCTCGTGTGGCTGGAACTCAGACCCACTTCCTCGAGCTACGCTACACCTCGGCTGCTAAGCCATTACAATGAATAGTTCAAAACGGATTCGAAACTTTAAATAACAATGATTGCGCAACTTTGCGGCATTTAAAAGTGGTCCGGAACCTCGAACAAGATTAGACGACAGGCGATTGTTTCGAATGCCTTCAGAAACAAAAGTGGGTCACTGCGAGTTTAAATGTCACGATAATACCATTTCGTTGACGAACGCTCCCAAGTTTGCATGCATATAAAAAAACCCCGACAAAGCGAATTAACGGTAGGACGACCAAGCATTGGGTGCGTTCTCCGTGGTTCGCAGGTTCGTTCCTTGTCGGTGGCACATTTCTTCCGTACGTCCACATTAATTTTTTTTTTTCATGTTTACATCGTAGTATTACTACAATGAAGTTGAGAGATTAGGAATGACATCCCCTTTACATTTATTGTCTCAGATTGTTGGCTTTAATTCATGTTGTGTCTAAGGAAGAAGTAATTTTCTTTCGTTTACCATTTGGTGGGGTATACGCTCCTCGCTGCCTACATAAACGTCGTAAGCATGTTTGAATGTACAAGTAGAACTCCTTATATTGATTAATGAATTATTTCATAAATATTTTCTGAAGAACCCTTTATGCCACTAGTCACAGAGTTTTTTGTTGTTTAAATTTCAATTTGTAGTTAGTGCAAAGCTTGCATAATGATGTTATACAGAAGGAGGTCCTGAAATAAAAGACTGCAATGGGAACTTCTTTTCAAAATAAATTAAAAATGTGGATTACAGCATAAAAACATACGCATTTCAAAATTAAGTAGAAATTATTGAAGTTCAACTGAAATCAATTAGACTAAAAAAGGAGCAAGCAATGTATCAAGAATGATGTCATCCAATAACAATACACACTGGCCCAGCCGTGGTGGTTTAGTGGCTAAGGTACTCGGCTGCTGACCCGCAGGTCGCGGGATCGAATCCCGGCTGCGTTGCCTGCATTTCCGATGGAGGCGGAAATGTTGTAGGCCCGTGTGCTCAGATTTGGGTGCACGTTAAAGAACCCCAGGTGGTCGAAATTTCCGGAGCCCTACACTACGGCGTCTCTCATAATCATATGGTGGCTTTGGGACGTTAAACCCCACATATCAATCAATCAACAATACACAATGAACAAGATGACGAGGATACTTCAAAATCAGAGATTGAAAGAATGTAATGTTTTAATTGTTTTTATTCATAAATTTTCAGCGTTTGTATTTCGATGGGTATAGAATTCCAAACCTTGATGGAAGAGAAAATGATCTCTATTTGAAATTAATAGATCATTGTTAAACCTACAGAAATATTTATCTTGTTCTATAAGCGAAAAAAAAGAACACTAGAACCCTACATTTATCCTCAGTCAGTATATCTCTTAGGTATGAGACAGTGGAAATTTAAACGCTAGCACTGCGAATGAGCTTTACGAAACCACGCTGTGTGGCAGCACGTTGCTTGGCTGTGACGCATATACTGACAGTTCGTTCTTGCAAACCTGATTGGCTGCAACGCGACAAGCAAGGGAAAAAAATACGCATACAAAGCGAGGCTGGTAGCACAGCAGACTCACCCGCTTTATGCGGACAGCGCTGAACGACTCGACGTACGCAATGTCGGCCGCACGCAAGCGAGGCGCCGTGGCAGTGCGCGATAAACTAATCTGGTGACTGAAGGATGAAATGAACACTCCCGAATAGCAGCCACCCTCCCCGCCGATAAAATACGAACAAATGTATCCGTAATTGCAGTATTCAGTCTCACCCGAGCATACATGATATTCTCTGCCACTTTCGGCTTTGGCGATAAAGGTCGCTTTGTGACCAGGATGTCGCTATCAGCCGCCCACTTGAAACGTTCAGCCTCCTCCTAACCCGTGGACGACTTTAAGAAACTGTTGGAATTGTTTTCAAGCTATTTTGTTTGCTAGTTCACGAAAAACTGCAAGCAGCATTGTATCCGTTGTTTACAAGAATTCACAAAGCTTTATCGGGCGGAAAATGTGAATTTTTCTTATCACGCAATTCTTATCATGCTTATAGTGTTAAGTGAAGCACAAACACTAAAACAGAAATAAAGAAAGACTTCGCCTTGTAAAAAAAAAGAAGAAGCATTTACGTTTGACTCGTTTAAAATTATTTGCACTAAGACAAGACCACGGGCATTTTCGCATAAGCTGATCTTAATTAAGCAAAGCTACGTTAGTTATTCGACTAAAAAACAACAAAGTTTTGTTTGGTAACCGACCGATGAACTTTTGTTTGCCATGAAACCATCACAAATAGTAACTACGCTTACTTTAGCGAAGAAACGATGTAAGTCTGGCATCATTGACAGTTTCTTCGGGTATTTTTTTGCGTTATGAGAAGCGCAATCGCAGTAGCCATCAAGTCTGTTGTCGTCGCAAAGATCGTTTGATCCAAGGTAGGACCGATAGTTTACCCCTAAATTCTCCAAAAATATTGCCTAGTGCTTTCTTTTCATACGCCATCGTAACATCTCGAATAGTTCTTTGTTGGTTGATGCGTTTCGTAACGCCATATATAAGATCTTTGAGGTTGTTTGCCAGCGTTAAGCGTCACTGCACGAGTGCACAAACGCTTGTTCTGCCCAAAACTTGTCGTTGTAGGCGTTCTTGACTATTTCTCTCTTTTAATAGATGACTACCGCTGCAAGGCCGACCTTTGAGCCAGCCAGAGGTGGCGGCGGCCGCAATGAGAAAGACTTGGGAGCCTTGTCAAAACAATACTCTAGCAGGGATCTGCCGGGACACACCAAGCTAAAGTACAGGTTGGTAAAACTAACTCCGCTATACAACAGCGCTCGCTTTTCTGTTCCCTTAGGCTTACGCATTCTGCGCGTTGCGTTGAACAGGCAACCCGGTCAGGGCACCAGCGAGGAACTCAAGGCAAAGGACTTTCGCCGCGAGTTGGAGGAACGTGAGCGTGCTGCGCTGTACGAAAGAGATGGCAAGAAGATAATCCGAGGTGAGTGGGATGGTCGAGCTGCGATTAGCACACATTCGCGTGCTGCCTAAATTTCAGCACAGTATGTACGAATGCGGATGTATCCGACCCTTCGTAAGGCAGTTGTTCGCAGCATGTGTCCGCACTTTGTGTGGCTTGCAGCGGACACGAAAAGGCGCGTTTTTTTCTTTTATTTTGCGCAATGAAAGGAATGCATACGGGTCAGGAGGACAGGGCAAACGAGTATTCTTCACAATATGATGTTACACTTTTATATATTTGTCAAATATTATGATTAACCTGTAGGAGGTAAGCCCTGGCAGCAGGTAGAAGCACGCCCAATCTACGGTATGGTAGATGTGCGGATTGCTAAGAGAGCGAGCGCAGCTGTGTGTTGTATACATAGTGTTCATGCGATGTCACTTCCGCCGTGTTCGCCCTCTCCCGCCATGCCCGGGTACCTCCCTGGATACCTACAGCAGTTCACGTGCTGCAGAGCAGTTTGTTGGGGGCTCGTCATCTTTTGCATGTGTACGATGTTGAAAAAGAAGCATTGTGGTTTTTTTGTTGTCGTACTTTAACGAGCTCATCGGATCAGAAAGGCCTCGCTTGTTCACTCGATACAAGACCTGAGAATCAAGATGTGCGACACGTATACCAGCCACCGCGTACACTGGCTGCCCGCCACGGCCTACTAGGGCCCATTATCTTGCTTTCATTACAAACACTACAAATTGCATGGCCCAAGAACAAGTGAAAGCCCAAAGTCTCTTGAGTTGCAAATTTAAGAGTGGATGAGCAAAGCGCGGCACCTCCCATCAAAAACGAGTCATGCAGAGCTAAGCAAGTTTACAATGGATATAATATTAATAGATTGCTGTGGCCCACACCACCAAATTAACAGCTCCCCCCCCCTACAAGTGTTTTAAATAGTGCTGATGTTAAGCCTCCTTGATTGGAAAATGTGGAAACAGCCAAGGAAAATATTATGCGAGGCAGATAGAGACTTCGCCTGATGCATGCTGCGGTTATGCCGGTCATCACTGTTTTTTGTTTTTCACGTATGTTTTGACATCTTCTTCAACTTGTATTTTACTTTTGTTGTACACTAATGTGCAGTGGAGTCCCTGAAAATGATAGAGACCGTGTTAGGGAATTAATTGATCAATTAAAAACCTGACACACTCTCGCCCCCCCCCCCCGCTCGAACCGATCAGCTATACTTCAGAGTGAACTAATATTGTTTCGCATCCATTTTCAGTTTGTATCAATGCAATATCCGAATTTCTGCGATAGCCATCATGATTCTAACCGCCTCCCAGGCATGCTGATTGTGCACGCAATCAGCATGCGGACAAGTTTGTATGTAATCAAGGTAGGCTATCTCTGTTTGCAGGCAAGTGCTTGACTATGGCACTTACCTGTAATGCAGTTACACCTGAAGACGCAAATATCACCGAGTTTCTTCTAGTAGTTTTTGTTACTTCACGTGAGCCAAACACGCCGGTACTTTTCATAAAATCGCAATGTGGCATTCGTAAGTTTTGGTGATAACTTTCGTCGAAGAAACACCCCGAAGCTTTGCTCCCTCTTTGTGGACTACTAAACCAACACGGCAGCGGTAGGCAATAGAGTCGGTAGGTACTCGGGCATGTCGGTTGCGCATTTCGGAAGTGACGAAGGTTCGCTGCGGGACACACGTGCACACTGTGTATAGTAGATGTGCAGCTGCAATGACATTTTGCTTCATGTCATCTGACTGATGCACTATTTGGGCACACCAGGTCAGCTCTGAATGAAATAGATTTTGCTTTCACAATCACATTTTCATGGCTGCAAAACCACGCATTACTTTAAGCTGCCCATGGAATTAGCACCCAGAATCAAATGGACTGTGTCAACAGCAGAAGGCTGTTCTTTCTTGAAGTAGTAGTATCTGGCTTTTTACGTTGATTGCTAGGGATAATAAATACTAGCTAAAATGTCTGTGCCTAGTGCAGTTCCTAAAGTTTGATTGATTGATATGTGGGGTTTAAAGTCCCAAAACCACCATATGATTATGAGAGACGCCGTAGTGGAGTGCTCCGGAAATTTTGAGCATCTGGGGTTCTTTAACGTGCGCCCAAATCTGAGGACACGGGCCTACAGCATTTCCGCCTCCATCGGAAATGATGCCGCCGCAGTCGGAATTTGATCCCGCAACCTGCGGGATCAGCAGCCGAGTACCTTAGCCACTAGACCTCTGCGGCGGGGCAGTTCCGTAAAGTTTGCACCATGCTACACTACCAAACAATAAGCTGGCTTGCCCATGACTGCAACATGGTACTGAAAGCAAGCTTCTTTGTATGGTAGCGCAAGCTTGCCGTATCTAAACAATGTAATGGAAAGCATTGGGACACACCTCTAGTCACTTCTGTATCTTCTCAGCCTTGATTCAATGCACAGCTACACTCTGTGTGAACAAAGTGTGGCCCCATGATCACACGTCCACTGTATGAGCAGACAATATTCTACATTGTGTCATCCGCAATAATTAGATAGGCATGGTAATATGGATCTGATTGTTTACCATGTTTCTATGCAGACAAATTGTAAATGAACATTTAGTGAACAAGAACAAATTGATGAAGTCAATGTGTCTAAGTGCCCATTCCTCTGAACTTTTGACATTTGCATATATAACATTATAACGATTGTTCCCCAAGCATCTACAGTGTAATGGCTATTTCGTATGCAATGAATACTTCTAGAGAGACTGAGGCCAGTAATGCAGTGTGCTGCGTGGAGTGGACGCGCTTTCGGACACACAGCTGTGGTGTTGTTAAGCGTAGTTTCCCCCTTTTAAAAAGGCTATTTCATGCCTAAATCTACTTCTAGGTAAGTAAACAGGCTCTTTTAGACTGCACACACGTTTATTAGTGATTATTGTGGTAAGCCTTGTTCTGTTGGTTGTTTGAGCGATAGTTGCATCACCGCCGTAACATGTGTAGTTGAGGAACAGGAAGGCTTGCTCTGTTTCCAAGTCATACACACGTGTTTCGCCGTTTGTCTTGCATACTGACGATGCCACCCATATATGGGTGGTGAAACGTCTGTTTTGTTTTTTCTTTAGAGTAAAGCAGGTGACTAGAAAAGTTAGATTGATTCACAACTGACCGCATGTGGTAAATGGATACACGTTCATCCCCTTTGACATTTAGAGCCATCAAAGAGGCCCAGGCTGGAGCAGGCACCTGCATCAAATCTTGATGCTGATGACTCCTTAGATGAGGTGAGTACAGCAAACTCAATGAATATTTCATTAGACTTAACGATCTTGCAGTGATGCTGGCCACTTATTGTAGAACTAAATAACAACACACTTAGCTTGTGTTTTGACCCACATGTTTAAATTGAAATGGTGAGATCTGTTATTCCTGTTTGTCTTTGACTGCATCTGTAAGTAACCTAAGCTCAGCTTCTGTGCCTTACGCAGTGCTGTTTCATGCGACTCGTAAGCAATGCCAGTGTGTGTGCATTAAGCGCTGGGGCTTAACTTATATATGCCCAGTCTCCTACATGTAGGACCCTAAAACTTCTCAGTGTAACTCGAATGTTTTGCTGTAACAAAGGTAGCGCAACCTCAGGTGTGTCTATGGTGCCCTGTCCTCGTCACATGCAAGTCTAGGTGATTGTTTATGATGCCCTGTCTTTGTCACATGCAAGTCTAGGTGATCGCTGGGCTACAAGTAGCCATGCGCTTGCAGTAACAAAATGGCTATTTTGCGTGCATGTAGCTGAGTGCCATATCACGAAAAAATATTTAAGTAATATAGAGTGAAATTGTTCTCGATGCTGGTGATCTTTTTGTCGATCGTTCGTCAGTTATTGGGTGTAGAATAACTTTAGTATGACAGTGATAGATGTGAATGTTTTTTGTTCGCGGTGTGTCAAACATTGATGTCCTACATATAGGGCGGCTCCAAAACTATTGTTAAAAGAAGTTTTCTCTTTAATTAAAAGTCTTATTCTGTTTGATGAGGTTGTAGAAGCAATAATTTTAGGGAAAGAAACTAGTTTTGTTAATTTTCCTAAGTTCGGGCATATAGGGGTTAAATCAATTTTATGAAAACATCTTTGCAGAGCCAGCGCAATATAACGAAAATACATGTTACTATCTAGATTTTTTTTTGGCTTGGACTCGGAATTGCTGTTTAAATGCCCCTTTGACATTGTGTTCTCATATCCCTTTCATGTATATTGTTCTCATTAATATGTAATTAAAAGTGCAACAAAGGAGCATGTTATTATACATATTAATTTGTGATGTTATGCATAAAATACAGGCTTAATGATTGAAGGTGAGCTAAATGGTCACGATGCCACAGACACAACACTTCTCCATAGCGGTGTCGTCTGTTTCACATGCCATGTATGGAATTTAGTATTCCTATCGTTTGTAATATTTGCTGCATCATTTGGTAACCAAAATTTTTCTGTAGAAAAATATGTTTTGTGGAAAACGTAGGCACCAAATTGATCATATAAAGATTTAAAATTGTTGAGATGATCGTGTCCATTGACCATAATAGCTGTCATGATTTTTATTTTTTTTGTCTCCCTGGCAATGTGCATGGGTGAAATCACAAGCTTTTTTCATGTGTCATATTGATAAGATGTAATGAGAGAAGTAATGTGCAATCGACCTGATTTAACTAGCGTGTGCGAGTAACAGCTTTATTCTCTCTATATGACCTAGCTAATTTCTAAAAAAGGCAAGTATCGCGACCTTCGCTCGCTGTGTGCTTGTCAGCTGCGATGCATCTACATAGGTACCGTTTGTGAAGCCCGCTGTGGTGCACCGATAATTAAAAAAGACAGGGCACGTGCGGCACACAGATAAAAAGAAAAACAATACAGCACGCAGCAGTGGTCAAAGTAGAGCAGAAAGCAAGCTGAGGTGGTCGAAGGGAGTCTGCGTTCTAATAAAAAAAAAACAGAAGAGCTCCAATGGGCAAGGAGGCCCTAGCTGTCGGTTAGTGGGACTGCAGCGGATGAATGTAGGGGGTGCATTTTATTATGCGAGAGGGGGAAAAAAATCAAAGTTCTGACGACTGATATTGGGGGTGTTATGCGAGTGCGTTGAATATGCGAGTAATACGGTATCTAGAAGCTTAGTCACACATTTGCCAAATGCGTGATGCACTCCCTGTCATATCTAGGCACTCCTAGCTATTACAGATTTCAGGGTTGGCTGCAAGATTTAGTTTTTGTTCACAGTGAACTTTTGCATCAAGTGAAGGTTAACATAAATTTAGCACTTGCAATTTCTCCGTTGTGTCTTATTCTCCATGTAGGATGAAGACAGCGATGACAGTGATGAAGATGACACCGCTGAGCTCATGGCAGAACTGAACAGAATCAAGAAGGAACGTGCTCAAGAAGAAGCAAAGAGGGTATGTTGTTATTTTAGGAAATTTCTTTTTTTTTTTAGCTGCGATTAAGACATAGGGCACTGTGCTGGAGATAAAATGTTTGTTGGTTTGATGGTGCCAAAAATATTGTTGCTGGAGGTTAAGATTTGTGAGTGCTGATCACCTCCATAGGGAATTTTTCTTCAGAAACTTGGGGGCAAAATTCTTCAGGCATGTAAGTTCTGGAAACTATGGGATGCACTCGAGTGGCTCGTTTACAACAGTATTACGTTCTGGCAGGTTAGTTGGTTCATTGCTGATAAATTTTTTAAACTGCCTCAAAAGACAAAGAACACCGTGTTCTGAATGTTTTATTAACTGGCAAATGACTGTGTTAGCCCTCTTGTTATGTACTCTATTTGCACAATTTTAGGTAGACCTGACTTTGGGTAGACTCTCCTGGATTTCACATATAAAAAAAAGAAGGTCACAGTTTTAGTGAAAGGGTAAAGTAATGAATGCGGTAGCAACAAATTTCAGTGTTGTAAAAAGTAAAACTTAAACCTGGCATTAAACCTGGCATAACTCAGCAAAATGTTAGTGAAGCAACTTTCGTTCGGTCTATTACCTCAACACAAACAGAAGTCCAAGACCTTATGGACATATGAGCGTTCTGCCCATCACTGTCAAAAGAGAGGTGCATGCACAGCTTCTGCTGGGGCTGCTTAGCACCCCTCCTGGACCCCCCCCCCATGGGCCTTTCACTCAATGGAAGATGGCCAGCACATTTGCTCTTTGTTTGAGCCATGGTCATCGGCTGTCTTTGCATGCTGTCACTCTCGTGTACAACACATGATGCACGTCGCTGTGTTATTGCCCTTGGACTTCATACGTAACCTCACGGTGATGCCGATGGCAGCACTCGAAGTGCACTTGGAGGGTTGGCTAGCGTATTATAAAAGAGAAACAGATGAGCATGTTCAGTGAACACGTTTCTTCTTGTTGTCGTCAAACAATCCCTTTCATGAACTTTGACACCCTGGTCGCGCTGCCCCTGTAGTTGGTCCTTGATATTTCTGTTTTTGAGGAGAACATATGGACTTCTTGCATGACATTTCATGTGTCACCAACACTGATCAATCTCATAGTTTGGTCATGCGTGCCTCAAGCTCCTGGCAGCGTCCCACCTTCATCCTGCAAAAATGTCTGCAATTTAGGTCACACATAAAACTTTAGTTGCATTGCCAAGGCCACACCATCTGTTGAGAAACTTCAAATATTTGTCTCACCACACAGTTGCTGTGTTTTTTGTTTCGGTTTTCGGGTACGAGCTAATGCTAGGTGTGTAGACCTTTAAAGGGGCAGACTAATCTTTGGGACCAAAAAGTGCCAAAAAAATTCTTTTTTTAAGTTTGACATATTGTGAGGAACCGGTTTATTCAGGCAAGCTCGAGTTAAATCACACTGGTGATGATATTTACAGATGATGAAGATGTACAGGTGATGATGATATATAAAGCAAATGAAGAGTCATTCGCTTGTCGTGCTCACACTAATTTCCCCACACGGTGAAAGCGGCCGCCTGAGAGTATTATAAAATGCATCGCGCATAGAATTTAAACGAGATACTGCGTTATCTCTGTCTCTCGGCAACGATGATCAGGGTAAGTGCTAAGAAGAGAAACGCGGTAATTGACAGATGTCTGTTCGACCACTGTGTGTGGCCCAAGGAAGCGACTGATGAATTTGTCGCATAGGCCGGGGACCATAGACGGAGTCCATAGATGAACTTCGTCACCAGGGGAAAAACTCATAACACAGCGAGACGAGTCGTAGCGAGATTTTCGAGTGTCTTGAGAGAGGCTGGTGTTAACGCGGGCCAGATTACCGCAGTGTGCGAGACGAGATAAAAGTTCTTCAGAAAAAGGAGCCGTCAAGGGTGCAGGGGCTAAAAGGAAAGAGACGTCCAGAGCGAAACTCGGTGAGCGACCATAGACGAGAAAAATGAAGAAAAGGCAGTAGTGCGTTGAGCAGCGATTTTATAAGCGAATGTCACAAAGGGTAGAACTGTATCCCAGTTTGTGTAGTTGAGGTCAATGTTTGTGGCGATCATGTATAGGGTCCGAGGAAAGCGTTCAGTCATTCCGTTGGTCTGCGGGTGGTAGCTAGAAGTGGTGTTGTGAACAGTGTTCGAGGCACGCAAAACTTGCTCGACAATAGAAGAGAGAAAGACTTTGCCACGATCGCTCACGAGAATGCGTGGAGCTCCATGGCGCAAAAAGATGTGGCAAAGAAAGAAATCGGAAACCTCAGTGGCAGTCCCAGATGGTATAGAAGCTGTTTCTGCATAGGGGGTAAGGTGGTCGACGGCCGTGACAATCTAGCGATTCCCATTGGATGATATAAAAAGAGGGCCATACAAGTAGATTCCAACGACTTCAAAAGGCAAGGCGGGACAGGGAAAAGGTTGCATTAAGCCAGCCGGAGCAGTTGTGTGGTCGTTTTCGCCGTTGGCAATGGACACAGGAGGCGACGTACTTAGCGACGGCTGAAGAGAGGCCAGGCCAAAAACAACGGCTTCATATTTTGTTGTTAGTCTTGTGATAGCCTAAATTAATGGCGGTTGGATCATTATGAAAGGCTTCCAGAACTGCAGAAAACCAGTTGCAGTTCCAGTTGCAGAGAACATGGGGTCACAGGTATCCACTTGTTGCCATCGACGTGGTAAATGTATCGGTATAAAGCACCACCGACAAGCTTAAGGGGGGACGTGGCAAGTAAAACTAATTTTTTTATTAATGTACTGTTTGTGATGAAATTTGGTGTGTGTATGTGGATGATTGTGAGGATTCCAAATATGAAAACCGTTTTCAAATACCTCTTGTACTTTTTGAGTTACAAGCATAATTATACTAATTAATGCTCTTCACACTTAAAGAGATAATTATTGCTAAATGAAATTATTTTTTCATATTATTATGTTCCCAAAGCATCAACTTGTGCAAAGAAGCTATTAGTTGATTTTTCTAGTTCTTGTAACCATAAATAAAATTTCCAAAACATGGATGTTGTTTTGCGCACACATCGCAGTAATTATAAAATGTGTTCTAAAAATTTTAAATGATGAGTAAGAAGAGAGATAAGCTTTATTGCACTGCTAAAGGCCTCCTGAGCCTAGTGCAAAAAACGGAACGACTCTATCAGTCTTTGTTAAAAAATGACAGATGTTCTAGCGAAGGCACATAGGCGAAAATCAAGAGTTGAGAAAACTGACTTTGAAAGTTCACTCTTGTTTGGAAGTTCACAACATGCCTAAAACACTCAGAATCCTCCTGGGCAGTAATCCTGAGATGCTGTGGCCTTGGCCTCTGTAGAGCGCAACCAGTTTTGCGCTTCTTTGTCGTGGAACAATGCGCCTTTTGAGCCCTCTTCACCCTTTGGCATCCTTTTCGGCTGCTCGCCGCAAAGAGCAGTCTCCTGGATTGAAGCCCAGTTGAGCAGTGATCTCTTGCAGCGCACTCTTGCAGCCACCATTGAAACGGCAGACTGCATCTGCAACTGCACTTTCCACACTTCGAAGGGAGGCGAACTGGCTCTTGGACTGGAGTGACCAAATGAGGCTGTTCATACTCTCCACAGCGTTCTGGGTTTTTCCCTGCGCACACCTTTCAAGGAGCTCTTTGTTCGAGAGGCGCTTGTAGATTGGCAGCAGTGCCACTCGCACGTGAGGGGGCAGTTTATGTTTGTGAGGCGGCAGCGGCTCTCCCTTGGCCAATGCCTGATTGTGCGGGCACCAGGAGTCAGTCCCACTTGGGCACAGGTCGTGGTGTGGATCCTGGTCTGTGGATGTTACATGGTAATAAGTGGCCATGATGGCCCTCTCCATGCCAGGAACATCGTTGGGGTGGCTCTTAATGGCCCAGCCATAATAATTCGTCAACTTCTTTATAAGGCCCTGCGTCAGCCGGCCTTTGCCACCCATGCTCAGTCCTCGGCCTTTGGATTTGTGCTCATCAAGAAGGTTGCGCAAGGAAGTGCCCATTCTTTTTTTCACATGGTTCACACACTCCTGTTTCTTAATCAACATGTAGCCATACACCTTGTCTTGCGTGAGGGCAAGGTACGTACGACTGTCACCGTCGCAGAGCACGTTGATGTATCGAAGCTTGTACTTGGTAAACGATCTTTCAAACATGATCCTCGCTGCTTCTACTTCCATTTGGCCTGCATTAGCATCGGTGTTCTTTTGGCACTGTGGCTTGTGTTTCTCAAGCCCCTCCTCATAGTTGTCGTCACCAGGCTTGGGGCCAACAGCACAGCCTTGGCAGTAGTTGGACAGGACACAGTGGTCCAAGACCAAGCCTGTGTACAGCTCGATTACACAGCCCACGCCAATATGACTTCTGTGCCCCCTCGTCATCCACGTGCCGTCGTAAATGACGTCAATGTTGCCTGGCACTCCTCCTAGGTCCTTGTAAATGTCATGCACCTTCTGTGCACTTTCTGCTTCAATGCGGGTGGCAGCTGATGTGGTGGCAGGGTGGCTGTACTTCCTTTGCAGTCTCTGGTAGGACTTGTGGTGCAGTGCTCGATGCGAAATGTCCATCGCAGAAAAAATGTCATTTATGGCAGATTGTTTTCTGCCAACTGACTGCACAGCCCTCAAAGCACGCACGTTTACCTCAAAGGGGTTCGTTTTTTGTTGCCCGGAGCACCTCGGGGACGACCACGCACTGTTCACTATGCCACAATTGTCACAAAAAAGTTCCATCCTCGCCGCAAGTCCAAGGCAGTGCGTAGTCTCGAGGCGTATCGACCCTTCGTCGCACTTGTTGCACTTTACTGACGAAAGCAGACCGTTCAGCATCTTCTTATTTACAATGAAGAATGTGGAGTCCTTACCGCCGTCATTTTCGTCGCAGCCTTCGTTCAGAAGCTCGAGCTTCCGCTTTGAAGCGGATTTCGATGCTACGGCATCCAAAACATCCCGCCTTGTCTGCGCCCGCTGCGCGATTTCTTCACTGCTCGGAATCTGGGCCGAA